AACGCCTGCTGGAGGGGCAGCTTCGTCTGAAGCCGTCTGCCCCCCATTCCTCTGGCGCCATCAACGTTCAACCTGTGTCACCCGGAATCCATAGTGTCACTCTTATGGATTTGAAATGTCAAATTTGCAGCAAATTTGCACGCAAACTTGTCATTTTGCGAGCAAATAAGATACAAACATCACACCGCGTGCGCCCCCGCCGGCGTGGGAGTGGCCGCACCGCGTGCTGGATGTGCCGTGTCGCGTGTGCAACACTCCCCCCGTGACCACGTCCACGCGATAGCCCCGCGCTGGCCCCCCCCCCGGGGGGGCGCGGTTAGCTCGGTTGACGACCCGAACATTCGCACGTGGAGTGTGTGTGTGTGGCACTCTAAGGATGTTTATCTGCGCACATGTGTGCGTAATTTGGCAATATTTTGAACAGAGAGCCCACTCGAGTAGCGCACTAGAGGCCAGGCATCCCCAGGAGGCGGGAGAGCGAGATCGCCCAAACCATCGTGAGGCGGGAGCGGCGAGAGCGACGACGGCTTGGACGTCGGCTTGGACGTCGGCGGCACGGCGATGATCAACGTGCGGTGGCGGAGGCGATGTGGCCAGAATGAACGCGGTGGCAACGGCACCTATGAAAGCTAAGACGCAGCGGCATGATCGGTGGCAGGTGGGGCGGTTGCGACGTGGCACAGTGGTAGCGATGATGATGGCCGTGGCGAGGGGGTGGGAAGTGGACACAGCGGGTGCAAGAAACGAGCCGTCTTGAAGTACCTTAAGGTATTGGTGAATGAGGCAGTCGTGTCCGCGACCCAGAAGTTTTGGTGAATGACGCCAGCGAGGCTTGAGGAATGAGCCTCGGCTCCAAGTGCGGAGCGGTCGCGCCACTGGCAAATGTTGCAATGCAGCAGTGGCGAAAGCGAAGGCAGCGTAGCTGCACCGAAGGCAGAGATAGCAACCGCGGCGTGAAATGTCACGGCACAAACGATCAGCAGCGGGTTCGTGATGGCAGCCAGCACGCTGAGATGCACAACACACCTGTGATCTATCGTTTGCAGCAGCGTGATACCAATGTAGTGGTGGTGACGGCTGCCTCCGTGGGAGAAGCAAGTCTGCAGAGGCTGCTGGGTACTATTAGCGCAGTCCGAGCTGCCGATGGCGACTCGTGGTGGCGCGGCTTTTGGCCCGGCGGAGATTGCAGCCAGCGCGATGAATGGACCCTGCGGGGAGGCGAGGAGACGGGCGAGCTGCGACGGCCGAGGAGGCCTGAGCCGCTGCGGACAGAGGCCTGCAAGCGACCGGCGTCATCGTCAAACCAAGTTTGTCGCTCCGGCACGCATTTTTGTCGCTCCGGCACGCATTTTTGTCGCTCCGGCACGCATTTTTGTCGCTCCGGTGCGCATTTTTGTCGCTTCAGTGCGCAGTTTTGTCGCTTCAGTGCGCAGTTTTGTCGCTTCAGTCCAATTACTGTTTCGGCGCGGCGGAAGGCGCCTACTCCCGTGGCAGCTTACATAGGGCTCGCCCATGCTCTCGCGCTGTCGCTGCCAGTGTGCTGTGAGAGAGAGAGAGAATTCTTGATACGAAACCACGACGACACACACCAGTCGACTCGCATCGGTTGCCTCCATGAACGGCGGAGCTATTCTCGCGTCCACACCACACCTGGCTCCAACGTGGACACGCCCATAGCTGGGGACACTACTAGGTCACGCATGGCATCAGAAGTTTTATCTCTGGGCCCCGAAAGGCATCTCTAGCAGCGTCGTTACGCATGCGCCCTCCCCTCCTGGGCGCATACGCCTCACGTCTCGACAGAGCTTAAGCCCTTGGTGTGCCACGAGACGAGTTTTTCGCCATCGCCGCGAGCAGCAAGCCGCCCGCCGCAAACAGCCGGAGGCATCGCCGCAGCACTGTCTGCGCTGCGCTCCCGCACCCGTCGACGAAGCTCCCCCCGCGGAAGACCGCGCGTAGCGACGCCTTGTCGTTCGAGATGAGCGCGCTTGAAGCCCGCCCACCTACTGCCCCTGAGAGTTGGTTACCGAGTGGGATCAGCTCCCCCCCTTGGGATCGAAGCTTCCACGACCTCGCACCCAACACCACAGGCGGGATCAGAGAGAGACTCCGCACCGGACACCGCCCGGGCTCTCTCTCTCTCTCTCTCTCTCTGTGCTGTGAGAGAGGCTTGTATCTTAAGAATTCTTTTTAACTTCACTCGCGCAAACATGGCGGACTCACGCTTGTTGTTGCAGCGGCGTGCCCTCGTCGCGGCCTCGATCGCCATCGCAGCCTGCGCCGCCGCCGGCCTATGGCTGACACGAGGTCACTGGGGCGCCGCGTTGCAGCTGCTGAGGCAGGAGGCGGAGCGGCGGCGCGAGGAGGCGCCCGGCGCAGTTGCCGCCTGCTGCGTCCTCGTCGTCGCTCTCTGGGTAATCCTCCTCATCCCATCGACGCCGATCGAGGCGCGAAGTCTCCGAGACATCTCTCAGACACCTCCGAGACGCATCCGAAGCGGGCGGGCCGCCTTCGCAGGTGACGATTGCCTACCTGTACGGGCTGAGGCTCGGCTTCCCTCTCGTCTACCTCGGCAAGGTGCTCGGCTGCCTCTCCGCGTTTGCAATCGGCCGCTCCTGCCTGCGAGACTGCTGCGAGCGCCACGTCCGCAAGACGCGGCTGCTGCGAGCCGTCGAAGGCGCCGTCGCCAAGGCGCTCTCCGAGAGACGCGAGAGCCGTCCGAGAGGCGGCCGCCGTTCACGGCACAGCCGCGGGTGTGAGAGCAGGAGCCGCTTCGGATCGCCTTTCTGTCGCGCGCCGCCTACCTCCCCATCGCGTTCAAAAACTACGGCCGGCATGTAGCGAGATGCTGAAGAGAGGCTGCCGAGATGCTGCGGGGTGCTGCTGGGCTGTAGCCGAGGTGCAGCCGAGGGACAGCCGAGGGGCAGCCGAGGTGCAGCCGAGATACAACAATTACAACCGTGCCCACCTGCCTGCGCCGAGGGTTTGCACGGCGCCCGTTCACAGCTGCCCGCCGTGAACAGGCCTCGCCGTCCTGTCGAACCTGCCGTGGAGATATGGGGAGATATCGGGAGATGTGGGGAGATATGAACAGGCCTCGCCGTCCTCGACCTGCGTGGAGATATGGGGAGATATCGGGAGATGTGGGGAGATGTGAACAGGCCTCGCCGTCCTCGACCTGCCGTGGAGCGCCTTCGTGGCCGCCTTGCTCACCGTCGAGGTCTAACCTCTAACCCTGACCCTGACCCTAACCCTAACCCTCACCCTAACCCTCACCCACACCCTTACCCTAACCCTAACCCTAACCCTAAGCCTAGCCCCAACCGCTGTCGAGGTCTGGAACTCGCTCCAGTTTGCTCTCATCGGCTCCGCGGCTCGCTCGGTCGGCGGCGGCAGCGGCGGCGGTGGCGGCGGTGTTGGCGGTGGTGGTGGCGGCGGCGGAATCCCCACCGGCCTCGCCAGCGGCGGCGGCGGAGGAGGTGGCGACACCTCTGGAGGAGGTAGCCTGGCTTGCGAGTGGTGAGGACTCAGCTGGTTCGTGGACGTTGCAGGCGGCAAGGCTGGGGGCAACCTGCGCTGGCGGGCGCGGCTTCCGATCGCGGTCGCCGGCCTGCTGGTGGTGGTGCTCGGCGCGTACTTGGCGACTGTGACGCGTCGTGAGCTGCGGAGGAGCGAGAGATGGCCGAGAGGTGGCCGAGAGGTGGCCGAGAGATGGCCGAGAGGTGGCCGAGAGGTGGCCGAGAGATGGCCGAAAGACAGCCGAGAGATAGCCGAGCGACAGCCGAGCGACAGCCGAGAGATAGCCTAGAGACAGCCGAGAGACAGCCGAGAGATAGCCGAGCGACAGCCGAGCGACAGCCGATAGACAGCCGAGAGACACCCGAGAGATAGCCGAGCGACAGCCGAGCGACAACCGAGAGATAGCCTAGAGACAGCCGAGAGACAGCCGAGAGATAGCCGAGAGACAGCCGAGAGACAGCCGAGAGACAGCCGAGAGACAGCCGAGCGACAGCCGAGCGACAGCCGAGCGACAGCCGAGCGACAGCCGAGAGATAGCCGAGAGATAGCCGAGAGACAGCCGAGAGATAGCCGAGAGACAGCCGAGCGACAGCCGAGCGACAGCCGAGAGATAGCCGAGCGACAGCTGAGAGATAGCCGAGCGACAGCCGAGAGATAGCCGAGAGACAGCCGAGGAGGACAGCACCTTCAACGAGGTCATACTCACCGAGCAATAGTAACACTCCCCTCATCAGGATCGAGATGGAGGAGGAGAGCGCCGAGGCCGAGGGCGCGGGCAGGCTGGCGACGCCTTCTGAGTTTCTTTGTGAAGCCTTCTTAATCATTGGTCACTCTTGTTTAATTCTGATTCATTTTTCAGGCCGCTGGCGACTCCCTCGCCGCCAGCCGCGCGATCTGCAGGAGAGTCGACACTTCTGCTGCACCTCTGCTGCATCTCTGCTGCACTTCGGCTGCACTTCGGCTGCACCTCGGCTGCACCTCGGCTGCACCTCGGCTGCACCTCGGCTGCACTTCGGTTGTATTTCGGCTGCACTTCGGCTGCATCTCGACTGTATCTCGGCTGCATCTCGGCCGCACTTCTGCTGCGCCTCGCGCTATCTGCAGGCGAGTCGGAGGCGTCGCCGCCCGGCGCAAAGGCTTCGCAGGGCGGCGGCTTCCCGGGGCTCGACACGGAGCGTTGATCAGCGTCTGTTCCCAGCTGCTGCTGTGAATAGGCGGCGGTTTCTCGAGGCTCGCCGAGGAGGGGAGGCTGAGCTGAAATCGCGGAGGTAGGGCAACTCACAGAGACGCGTTTGGCGCCGGGCAGTGGCCTCTCTCGCCCTCGTGGCTGCCTATTGTGTACGGGGGGAGCATTTTATTGTGCACGGTTGTGTGTGTGTTGTCTCTCGACCGTACTCGCGAGGCTCTCGTCTCACCAAACTCGTCGTGTGTGTGGTGTGTGTCAGTGGTCGGACTGTTAGTGCTGCGTGCCGCGAGGAGAGTTATATGGGGTAATTTGTGCGATTGCCGCTTCGTTTTGTGATTGGCTACAATGTATGTACATATGCACATGCACATGCATGTGGGTTGTGGGCCTCGGCTGTCCCGGTGTCGCGCGCAAAAAGCCCACATAGTTCTCACTCTAGCATTCAACACTCTGCATTTTCTTTTGGCCCGAAGTCACGGAATCGGAAACGGTTTTCGGGGGGGGCGGCACATAGTTATCGTTCTCCACACCGCCGTGGCGTGGCAGCTAGACGGTGAACGAGCTAGCGTGCGGGGAGAGCGGCATTGTGCACGGAGCTTTGCCGTTCTTAACGGAGTCGCTTAGGCTCCGGTGGTGTGCCTGTGATAGTGCTAGCACGCGCCAGTTCGCACCTGTGTCGAGCCTGTCTGCTGTGAGGGGAGAGTTGTTTTGTTTAAATTCTTTCATAGTAGCGTAGACGCTACTCTCGAGGTTCTCGAGGTGGATATCCTTTGGCCGCACTCAAGGTCACGTGCACAGCATGCCCCCCCCCCCCCCCCCACCCACCCACCCACCCGGCACGTGGCTAACGACCTGTGTGTACTGTGTGAACAGCGAACGCTGCCTCCCATAGGGCAGGATAGCACTAGCATACGGGTGGACGCGTCGACGCCGGCACAAAGTGGATCATGCAGTTCTTCCTCTTGTACGCATCGCCGCCCGAGCCAGAGCCGCGCGCATTGACCAACCTGCGCTGGGGCGCATGATGGGGCGTGCGGGGCGTTTTGGAGGTCGCTGACTCGCTGTCTCATGCAGAGCCGTATGTGTGCGTAAGAAAGAAAGAAAACAAATGGCGCAAAGCACTTAGATAGATAGATAGGAAGGCGAAACACAGTCCGACCAACGACTGCGACACCAACGCGGTATGGGTGCACTTGGAGCACTTGGAGGTAGGTACTCGTCGCCCTGAATGGTTGCCCAGGTTACTCAGGCTAGTTCCATTTCACTGTGGCACAGCTCGCGTTACAAAACCTTGATTTGACCATTTGCGCAAAAAGGTACATCTCGGTGCCTTCCAGAGGCAGCTGCCACCCCGCCGAGTGGACGGGCGCACACAGCAGGTGGCGCGGTGTGCGCCCGTCCACTCAGCGGGGTCGCAGCTGCCTCTGCGCGTCCTGTGGATGTACCTTTGTTGCGCGCCGGAGACGACTCGACGCCGCTGAGATCGGAGATCAAGCTCTGACAAGTCACCTGTCGCTCCTTTGACGCCGACGTGACTCACCCGTGCAGATCACATCATGACACGGTCTCGACGCGCTCGGTACGACGCCTGCGACCCGTCTTGGGTCAGGTGGCACGACGCTCATCGCGCCTACCAGCGCTGCCGTACAGGTTGCCACGACGAGGTCGAGCACGCTTCTATACGCTCGCCCAGCCTTCCTTTCCATCCCATTAGGCAGCCTGGGAACGGTGGCGGTCAGAGGCAAAGCCTGCGAGGGGTGGTGGAACCACATGTCACGGCTACTGCCGGCTCGACCCCATGATAGCCTCCGGAGGCTGACTTTGAGGCACAATCATCGGACAACGTCGGCGAGTTGAGTCGCTCTCGCGGTAGCCAGATGACCTCTCATACTAGTATCATCGGCCATGGCCGCAGGAAGCGCGGGGGATTCCGCTGGGAGCAACACGGAGCTCCGTTGGACGCGTTTTCAAGATTAGCGTGTCAGAGTGAATTGGAACTAGCCTCAGGACACCATCCCGGCGTGAACACGACGAACTGCCCTTCTCCGATGCACGCGCGGCACGCGCCACGGCGCGGCACGTGCCGCCGTCTTTGTTTGAAGTAAAAAGTCGAATCAGAGCGGTGTCGGCGTTGTCCTGAGTTTTCTCCTTCGGACCGCCCAACCGGGACCGCTCCGGGACGCACGCCGGCGAAGCACCATCAAGCTGCTGTACGGCCGCGGTATCGCCTCCCCTGGCTTAGCTAGACTGAGATATATTGTGCACAAGGTTGGCCTCTACAATATATACACTGACACTCTACCTCCCAGAGCTCGTCCCGGTCCGCCACGGCCATCCTTGGCCTCCGGAGGGCCCCCGCGGCGCGGTGCGGCGGCGTCACAAATCCGACCACAGAGCACCGGGACGCGGTCGGGCGATCTGAGGTCCAACTAGGCGTATGCATTGTCCCGGCGTGCCGCCGGTGCCGCTTCCTCGCCAATTTTTGGCTCGACCAGTTTGTCGACAAAACTGTGCCAGAGCCCCTGCTGCTCGACTGAGCGGCGGAGCCGGCCCGTCGCGGCCGAGGTGTGATGCGCCAGCACCGGGGCAACAAAGCGGGACCATTTCCGGGCCGTCTCGAGCAACCTCAAATTTTGATGATTTCATGACCGCCACTTTGCTGCACACTTTGACCTCAACCCGCGGCCGGCTGCGCGGCTCTCCGAGCGCGAGAGGAGTCGTCTACGAGGCGGCGGCGAGCGCAGGCGGCGGCGGCGCGGCGGCGCGGCGGCGGATCGCGGCGCAGACAACGGCAGCAATCTGCGGCAGGCTGCTGCCTACTGCTACAGCAGCTGCTGCTGCTGCTGCTGCTCCGCCGCTGCCGATTGTGGACACGATTCCCCCGATCACCCCGCCCGCCCGCTCCGCCCCGCCCGCCCGCCTCTCCCCGCTTGCCCGCCCGCCCGCCCGCCCGCCCGCCCGCCCGCCCGCCCGCCCGCCCGCCCGCCCGCCCGCCCGACCACCCATTCCCATCACCATCTCACATACCTTCATATAGGCGCTCGAGACCTCCTCTCGCTGCCTACTCGCTGCCTCGAGGGGAGGAGGGGAAGACGTCGAGCGGGCGCCACTGCGCTCGCCGTCCTGAGGCCCCTCCCCGAAAGGCAAGTCTTAGCCACATGAAATCCGAGACCCCTCCCCCCCGCCCCGATCCCCCCACCCCCTTGCTCCCCTCCCCCCCTCGGGAGGGCCGAACTGAGGCGCCCGAGGGGACCCCGCAATGCCCTTCCCCCTCGGAGGGCCGGACTGAGGCGTCGAGGGCCCCACTCTTTCCTTCGCATAGCGGCCACTCTTCGGATCGCTGGTCGAGCGACCCGGGGGATGCCCCGCGCGCCTGACCCAGGCGCGGAAACGAATCTGCGAGGCGTGGCCGCTCATGCGGCCCGATGGGGAGGAGGGGAAGACGTAGGGCGTGCTTGCGCGCCTTTCCGAGGCCCCTCCAACCCACCCGCGCTAGGTCTCGGGTTTGACGCATGGGGTCACTCCCGCGAAACCCGTGAACTAGCCGGGGCAGTCGGAGAAGGGGCAACTCCGTGCACTGACGGTCGGCCGTCAGAAAACACGCCTCCGTGGCTCGGGTTACACCAATCCTCGCTACCCAACGCGGCCAAAGGATATCCACCTCGAGAACCTCGAGATGCATTGCCCATCCATGGCTATCACCTGGACCCATCAACAGGCGCCTGCGGCGCCGTGGTCACGAGGTGTTGTTCACACCTGGGCAAGCATTCATGCAGCACAGTAGGTACTTGGAGTGCAGTCATGCACTTGGAGCGCTCCCCGAATATAATTTTTTTCGATGGCCGACATGCCCGCGCGCCGCACGACACGGCCTGAGCCGTCGCCGCGTACGCACGCCTCCGCTTCATTCCGGCCCTAACCCCCACACTCCATGTTGTCACGTCCTCCTCTCCGCGCCCGGCAGTCCTCGCGCGCCTTGATGCCTTCATGCCGGCCATCGCGAGCGCCAACGCCGCGCTGAGCCAGACCACGGGTGCGGCGGGATCGTCGTTGGAAGCGGCGATAGGAACGAGTGCTGGCGCGGGTGTGAGCGCACTGGCCGGCGGGCGCAGCGACGCATCTCTGCGCTTCATGGAGGAGGAGGAGGGCGAGGGCGAGGACGAGGAGGTGTGAGCGCCTCCCGCACACACATGCGCGCAGCCAAGATTGCACGTCGTCGCGCACATGCTGACGCGCGTCGTCCCATGTTGCCGCAAGACGCACGCCACTTCACTCCGCCGCCAACGCCTCGTCTCTCCTCCTCCCTCTTTCCCCCGCCCCACAATACAGATCACTGCTGCTGCCACAGCCACACCGCCACCGCCACCGCCTCTCGACTTGGACGGCGCACGGCGCAGGAAGAGCTGATCGATCCTCAGCTGCTGAGCGACCCGGGCGCGAGATCTAGCCGAGATTGCGCCGAGATCTGGCTGCGACCTGGCGGTGAGTGAAGAGCAGCGCAGGGCGTCCTTCACACCCCGCCGAGCTGTGAGCAGGCGGGCCATACGTGGAGATGGACCTGCACTGCGGGGTGTTTGAGAAGGCGGGGCCGCCCCTTCTTTCGGCTCGCACGGCTGTGAACGGCGCCTCTCCACGATGCGCTGTGAACACAGGTGGCGGCCGGAGTAGTCCTCGCGTCGCGGCTGTGAACGGCGCCTCTTCACAGCCTCGGGCCGTGAACAGGTGGCGGTCGACGAGTCATCCTCGAGCAGCTCAGAGGAGGACGAGGAGGGAGAGGGAGACGACGGCGGCGGCGGCGGCGGCGGCGGCGACGGCGGCGGCGGCGGCGGCGGTTTGCGTCTTCCGTCGCGGTGAGATTGCCGAGACCAATCGGGAGATTCTCCGAGATCCGCCGAGATCCGCCGAGACAGCTCGAGAAGGGCAGGGCGCGGCGGCGGTCCACAGGAGCCTCTTTACGGCACGGCGGTGTGAACAGGCGCACCGCGGCGGTGGCGGAGGCGCAGCGCGCGGGGCGGACGCTGATTGCGGAGGTTGCGGGTGGGGAGGAGGAGGCGAGCGACGGCGGGGAGGAGGAGGAGGAGTCGCGTGGCGGCGACACAAGCGGTGGCACCACCGACGCGGCGAGCGGTGGTGCGGGGAAGGGGGCCAGGAAGGGCCGACGCTAGGGCCGACGGTCGTGGCGAGACTGTGACTGAGGGGGGCCACTTGTGAGGCATGTGGAGCGGTCGCTGACGGCGTGAGATTGCACTAAAGTAGGGGCTTGTCGTGGCGCGCCCCGGGGTAGTCTTGTGTGGGACGCATATATACGACTGTAACCATCCATAAAGCGACCCACTGTGATGAAGTGGAGGTAAGGTAAGGTAAGGGTCGCAGGCGTCGTACCGAGCGCGTCGAGACCGTGTCCTGATGTGATCTGCACGGGTGAGTCACGTCGGCGTCAAAGCAGCGACGTGCGACCTGTCAGAGCTTGATCTCCGATCTCAGCGGCGTCGAGTCGTCTCCGGCGCGCGACAAAGGTACATCCCCAGTACGCGCAGAGGCAGCTGCGACCCCGCCGAGTGGACGGTGACACACCGCGCCACCTGCTGTGTGCCACGACGCGCCACCTCTGGACGGCACCGAGAGGTACGAAATGGCGCAAATGACCAAAATCAAGATTGTGGTAACGCGACCTCCCGGTGAGCATTTCGAGAGACATGACTCGTGAGCAGTTTCTCTCATCAGCCTCGGTCATCCACTGCACGTTTCCTGCCACGGCCACTTCCGAGACACTTCTCCGTGGCACTTGTGGAGAGACCCTTCTGAGACACTTCCCGACACACAAGGTGTCAGGTGACTTGTGCGGCGAACCTCCGAGACTGAGACATCACCGCGCCTGCCACGGCCAGCGCGCCTCTTGCAGCAGCTTGGGCAGGTCGGCAGGTACCTTCGGCGCCAGGGGCGGCCGAGATCAGCCGAGGTTAGCCGAGATTAGGCGAGGTTAGTTGAGGTTGGATCGGCAAACACCTTGGCGCCGGGGTCGTTGCAGAGACCGAAGCGCAAGCCTGCATGGGAAGAAAAAACGAAAATCGGTCGTGCCAACGGGGCGGTGCTGCGGCCAAAGCGGCGACGACTTCGAGGACGGTTTCGTGGACTGTCGGGTGCCACACGGGCCGCCACAAGTCGCTGCAGCGTCGGTGCCTCTCGGAGCTGTCTCGGGCATGCCACGGGCAAGAAGCCGCAGCGCTGTGTCTCGGGAGACTCTCGATCGGAAATGTCTCGGAGACGTCTCCTGCAGAGCGCTCGATCACAGCCTCACGCATGACACGCGCCTGTTCACACCTCGAGGTGTGAACACGCTGCCCGCTCACAGCGCGGCGGCGGAGGCCTCGCGTCGAAATGCCACGTCGGCGCGCGCAACAAGGAAAGTGCCTAAGGAAGAACTAAGCGAGAAGGTCAACGGATGTGTGGCGGCCTGGAGCGAAAGGCTGCTGGAGAGGCTCGGCGGTGCCGGGCGACGGCAAATCGTCATTGTGTGACACGCCGAGTCCGTGCATGCCCGCCTATAGTCGAGAGACAGCCGAGATACAGCCGGCAGACAGCCGAGAGACAGCCGAGAGACAGCCGAGCTTACTGCCGAGAGATGCAGCCGAGGTACTGCCGAGAGACAATCGAGAGATCGAACATTGCGGGCTAGACCCTGGCTGTAGCTCGGCTGTATCTCGGCTGTATCTCGGCTGTATCTCGGCTGTATCTCGGCTGTATCTCGGCTGTATCTCGGCTGTATCTCGGCTGTATCTCGGCTGTATCTCGGCTGTATCTCGGCTGTATCTCGGCTGTATCTCGGCTGTATCTCGGCGCGCCTCGCCGCTCGAGAGGCCGCACGGCTTGACGATGGTGGAGCCTGATAGTTATTTAATAACTAGGGGCTATCTGTCTAATGATGAACTGTTAATGAATGCCGCACGGCTTGACGATGTCTAATCTCGGGCGATCTCGGGAGATCTCGGTACAAGGCCGCGCCAACTCCGGAGCCCAGCAGGAAAGCCTGAGATCAGCCGAGATCAGCCGAGATCACATGAGATCACTCGAGATCGGCCGAGATCGCCCGGGATCAACCGAGATCAGCCGAGATCAACCGGGATCGGCCGAGATCAACCGAGATCGGCCGAGATCAGCATGCGACGGTGCAGGGGGCGCCTCTGCGTTCAGCTTCCAAAAGAGGACAGAGCCGCCCTTGAAGGGGGCTGGCTTGGGGTCGGTCGTTCCCATCGACGAGCAGAGGACGACGCGCCTGTGTCTCGGACATGTCGCGGACGTGTCGTGGACGTGTCGTGGACAGTGCCCATGCACGAGCAGAGGACGACGCGCAGCGAAGGCAGCGCGCGCGCGTTCTGCTGCGCGAGCGCCGCGACCTGGCGGGCGATAGGGGGGGGGGAGGGGTCCGGGGAGGGAGGGGGGGGGGGGGGGTTGGGGGTGTCTTGGGAAATGTGTCCGGCGTGGAGAAGTGTCTACGGAGTGTCGTGGAAGCCTGCATGAGGCACTGCATGCGGCAGTGTGTCCGGTGATCGACGCTGAGATGGGCTGAGATGTAGCCGAGATCGGCCGAGATTGCAGGAGGTGTGCCTGGTGCTCGACGCCGTCGAACTCGACGGCTCGCATCTCCTTCTGTGAGGCGCCTCCGCCTGTTCATTCTTGATTCTAAATCACTAACATTCGCATCTCCTTCTGTGAGGCGCCTCCGCCTGTTCATTCTTGATTCTAAAACACTAACATTCGCATCTCCTTCTGTGAGGCGCCTCCGCCTGTTCATTCTTGATTCTAAATCACTAACATTCGCATCTCCTTCTGTGAGGCGCCTCAACCTGTGAGTACTCGATCGTTACTTGGTAGAGATTCATCACTATCGCATCCCTACTATCGCCTCTGGAGGCGACTCACAGAAGGAGATGCGATCGCCAGCAGTCTTCTGTAGACTCATGACGCGGCAGTGTCTCTAGTGCGTCTCGGAAGCGTCTCGGAAGCGTCTCGGAAGCGTCTCGGAAGCGTCTCGGAAGCGTCTCGGAAGCGTCTCGGAAGCGTCTCGGAAGCGTCTCGGAAGTGTCACGGAAGCGTCTCGGAAGCGTCTCAGAAGCGCTCGCCGACGGCGGCAGCGATCGCGACGGTGTCGACGCCCGTCGACGCGGCGGTGAGGGTCTCCGGCTTGGTCACGTCGCCCACGAACACCCCTTCGCTCTCGTCGCACGCCTTGCAGCCGAGCAGCTCTCGCGCCTTTGTGACGTTCCGGACAAGCGCCCGCACCTCGGCGATGCGGCTGTCGGCCTGGCGGCGGCGGGAGAGTGCGGTCAAGCCCTGGGGACTGGACCGGCGCTTGCAGCCGGAGTGGGTTCACTCTCTCTCGCTCTCAGAAGTGCTCTCGCCGTGCGTCTCGCCTTGAGCTGGAGGTAGAGCGCGCTACCCGTGCGACCAGTTGCGCCCGTGACGAGCACGCGCGGCGAAGACGCGGCGTCGTTGGCGAGTTCGGAGGTCCACGCGGCGGCGGTGAGGCACAGGTGAAGCATGTACAACTGTATGGGGCGTTCCGGGTTCGGCTTCCGGGGTTCTCTAGGTCGCTTAGGCGGCTCCCGTGGTGTACCTGTGTTAGTGCCAGTGCGCGCCAGTCCCGTGCCCAGTGTTGTGCGAGGGAGTTTTGTTGTAAGATTCTCTAGGTTGATACCCGAGTACTGTCTGCTTGTGTAGGTATATTGTTGGCAAATCAAGGCTGTATGCCTTTGGAGCTCGCGTCAAGAATTTCAAACATCGCGTCAGCTCGCGTCTGGGTAGCGAGGATTGGTGTGACGCGATCCACGCAGGCGTGTTTTCTGGCGGCCGACCGTCAGTGCACGGAGTTGCCCCTTCTCCGACTGCCCCGGCTAGTTCACGAGTTTCGCGGGAGTGACCCCATGCGTGCGTCAAACCCGAGACCTAGCGCGGGTGGGTTGGAGGGGGCTCGCCCCGTTCCTCCCATCGGGCCGCATGAGCGGCCACGCCTCGCAGATTCGTTTCTCGCGCCTGGGTCAGGCGCGCGGGGCATCCCCCGGGTCGCTCGACCAGCGATCCGAAGAGTGGCCGCTATGCGAAGGAAAGAGTGGGGCCCTCGGGGTACGCCTCGTCCGCCCCCCTCCGAGGGGGGAAGGGAATTGTGGGGTCCCCACGGGCGCCTCAGTTCGGCCCTCCCGAGGGGGGGAGGGGAGCAAGGATTCCTACTCACTTTATAAAATGAACTCGGGGGCACGCGGCACAAACGGGGCACAAACGCCAGGCTACAAAGACGGGGAGGCACGTAGTGACGCAGGGGAGTCTAGGCGACGGCGGCGTCCTCCGACGCCGCGGCGAGCCTGAGCTCGGTCGCAATCTCTTCCGCCGCCGCGAGCTGCAGCGCGACTGACATGCGCTGGGCCTGCAGCGACAGACAGCCACGACCGCGTCGACCAGCTCGCCTCCTACTCACTTTCAGCTCACTTTCGCCTTCCCATCAATCAATCAAACTCACTCACACAAAAACACAACCACGGACCCAAGACGCACAAGCTCAGACAGTGACAACTCACTCACACTCACACAGGAGCGCGGACTCTCGCTGGTGCGAGGAGAGACGTGTAGTGCGCTGTAGTGCGCGCGCACACACACATGTGGAGCACGGATTGACCATAGCACGGGGATTCCTTTGCAATTTAGTCGTTCGCGAAGCCACCATTTCCGCCAGATCGGCCCTTGCGGTCGGTAGCCCTGGCCAGGGTAGGAGTTTAGGAGTCATGAATGCGTGTTGAAATCGTCCGGGGCGATCTCGGCCGCGCCCTGGGCCTGGCCATCGTCTTCCGAGTCCACCTCTGTCTGCCATCAATTGCGTCCCATTACCCACTATGGTGTTGTCGTTCAGATCGAAAGCTTTCTCCAGTTGCTTGTTTTGTGCGGACTGCAAGTTGTGGGCGAGCACCGCACTACACGACAAGGAAGTGAATTTTGTGTACATCATAAGTGTAATTTGTTGGTGCTGCCCGCTCCGCGGCCGTACTCGGTTGCTCGCAGTCCGCAGGGCAGAGGATCTTGAGGGCAGGATGGGTTGCGTCTGGTTTGGCGTCCGACGAGCCTCGTCTTGGTGGGATACTCTCTCGGTGGCATTTTGTGAGAGAGGAAGCCAAGGTGTGGTTTGTTGCCTTTTGAGGACCTCTACTAATGAGGACCTCAGATTACCTGTCCTCTGCAGTTCATGGCGGTGAGAGCCATTGGAAGTGTGGGTGCGGGGGGGGGACAGGCCGCCCTCAACCGGCGCCAACGTGGTCTGAGGCGTGGGGATTCGGCCGGGGGGCTCGCTGATCGAGGCCGAGACAGGGTCCACATTGAAGTGAAGGCCCACGGGAGGTCCTCACAAACGAGACAGAGGTCCTCACTAGAGGACCTCGGCGGCCGCCAGAGGCGGCCCTTTCATTGAAGTGGCGGCCAACGAGTGGCGGCCAACGCAGGCTGGAAAAAAAACTGTTCAGTTTTCAAAGGCAAAACACGACGCTCTGCGGTTGGTGCACCCCTCACACTGACACATTCCCCTCATCCCTTACCCTAAGAAGAGGAGAACGAAGAGGAGAGGCGCCAGTGATGACGAAAGAGAAGCTAGTGCAGACGAGGGCAGGTCAGACCCGGGGACGGCGGAGGCGGACCAGACGGCATCGACCGCCGAGGGAACGTTGGGAAGAGGCACGAGGAGGGCGGCGACCTCGACCGACTATGGAGGACCCGTCGCCAGACGACGCAGGGCAGACGACGGTGAGGCGGAGCAGGCGCGCAGGGTGAGACGAGGGAGGGAGCAGGACGTTGCGGAGATCAGCAGGAGGATGTACGAAGAGATTAGGAGCAGCAGGGACCCGAGGGACCATGTGGAAGACGGCTAGTGCTAGTCCCCCATCGGGAGGACGACCCCGGCTAGTCGCCGACCACACCCACAAAGAACCCTGCACAAAGATCGCAAGGGCGGGGACCTGTTCCTTTTTACCCATCTCCTAGTAGAGGTGTCCGTTTTATCTAGGGTACGATACTTGACCCCCCCCCCTTGGCGCCTCGTGTTTTTCGTGCCAAACCAGCGCGATCTCGGCGGGGCGTCAGCGCCTCTCGGAGGGGCATCATGCGCTCCCTTGGCCGCCCGACGGGGCGGGCCTCTTGCTGATGGACCCAGCCGAGGTGCCCAACCAGTTGGAGTCGCGCCGACGCGCTGCGGCGACCACCAGCCAGCTTTTCAGCGCGGTCGAGGACGGTGCGCCGAAAGAGTAGACAGTCTCCGGTCCATCCGGAATTTTGTCGTTTTAGTTAGCACTGCTGCTGCAGACAGGGCCCGCGTGACCCCTTGCCCTTCCCGGATCCAGCTCGCTGAGGCGTGGCGTCACCCCGCTGACCGCCCACAGGTGGCTGACGAAGCGCCACTCATCGCTGCTTTCGCGCGCCTGCTCCACAGAGGGCTCCTGCGGCTCTCCCTCGTCGCGTGACCGCCGCCGACAGCATCTGCTCGGTCGTGCCCGCCAGCGCGGAGCTGCGCCACGTCGAATTGTTCGGCGGCTCGACCGCCGGCGCGCCCATCCTCGCCTCCTGCGCGCCTCACACCCAGTATTTTCCTCGCGCGCGGCCGACAAAGTAGGCACACGACCACCTCCCTCCCACTCACCCCCCCCCACGATGCACAGCCCGTCCACTCTCGCCGGCAAGGCGCACGGAACGCCCAATTTGGGCTGGAAATGCCGCCGCCACGGGTTGGTGGTGCCCTCGGCAGCGGGGCAGCGCCACGCCGCGCAAACTTGCGCGACAAACTTGCGACCTCTGTCCCTCGTATTCACCCCAGATTTTGCCCTATCCAGGCTCACCCGGTACCGCGAGCGACGAGCCGCGCCAAGTTTGCTCCATTTCCGACAAGTTCATCCTGCCCGAACGCCGATCTTCGGCCGCCTGGAGGCCCAGGACGGGGCTCGGGACCGGCCAGGTGTGGATTCTCCACGGCGCTGCGGTGTATCTGCGCGCCCATGGCGCGTTCAGGGGTGTGCCTGAGGCGTGTAGACTGCGGGGCGCCGCGATAGCGCGGCGCCGACGGTTGTGTCGCGCACTGTCACACCCACGACACGGTCACAGTGTGTGTGCAGTGCGTCCACTCCGGCGACCGTGACGCCGTCGGCGCTCGCCTATACCGGCTAGTGTGGAGCTTTCAGTGTGGTTGCGTGTTGTACTAGTGATGCTGCACTAGGCGGCCCGTTTTTAGCAAAAACCAGATACCACATCGCGTGTGGTCGTCGAAAAACCGCATCTTCGCCCGTCTGGGACCTCTTCGTACGGCTCCAAAAACCGCTCCTTAACGACGGCTACGCGGCCCGGCGGTCGATCTGCGCCTTCTCAGCGGTGGAGGGGATGTGGGCGGTATGTGCGTACCGCGTGGTGTTGCGACGGTTTGACGAGTGCGACTCCCAGCGTCGACTTTTCGACCCCACGGAGCCTCTGCTGCTCCCGGGGGGGGGGGGTCTGCAGACCACCCGGCCGAACTTCAGAGTCGCGGTGCTCCTCAAATACCGCTCAAACGCCCACGATGTTGTGGAGGGGACATATGCTGATGATCCTGGCCCGATTGGTTCGCTCAGAAAGCTTCTGGGCGGTCGTTAAGGTTCGCTCCCCGCACACCGGCCCGGAAGTATCGTACCCTAGATTTATTTATTTATTTATTTATTGCAACTCAAAATGCCCTCGGCATCTCAAATTGCGGGTTCCCCGCCCCTGACGACTCTCGGCACACTCGCCACGCTCTCTCGTCCCAACCCTGGCGCGGCGGGGGCCGCAGACGCCATACCACGTTCTGACACTGAAGAGGCGATCACACCAACTAAGGTAGACAAAGGGCTTGGGCCTTGGGGATAGGCAGAACAGCATAGTAACACACAATGCTTACTGGCACGACAAGAGTGTGGATTGTCTGAAAGCAGGGAAGGCGCGAGCGGGGGCGGCGGTAGGGTAGAGAGTTTACTCGCCGTCCACCCACGTGCACATGCACATGCACATGCACACATGCACATGCACATATGCACATGCACTAATGCCTGTCGGCTCTCATCGCCCCTCTCCGCTCGCGCCGCCACTGCGCTGGCGCAACACAAACAGGCTCGGTGTGCGCATGACGCGCAGGCTCGCCGTGCCATCGGCGCCCGTCTCCACATAGACCTGCAGCGACATTTCCTTGATCGGCGGACTCTCGGCTACATCTCGGCTACATCTCGGCTACATCTCGGCCACACCTCGGCCACATCTCGGCCTCATCTCGGCTACACCTCGGCTACATCTCGGTCACACCTCGGCCACACCTCGGCCACATCTACACCACATCACCCCTCCATCTCCTCTCGATCTCGTCGGCTCGATCTCGCGCCTGCTGCCACACGCCCTTCCCCTGGGTCGGCTGCCGGCGCAGCTCCCGCCTAATCTCGCGTGAGCTCGGGGGTCACCTCGTGCGCCCTCCCCCGAGCCGACGGCTGGCGGACCACAGCTCCCGCCCAAACAGGCTGAAGACGGTCTCGACGAAGGACACGCGGATGCGGTTGTCGTCGAGCACCTGCCGCCCGGCCAACGCCCAGCGTCAGCCCTCGCTGACTGGCTGATTGGCGAAGGCGAATTTTCTGCGGGTGGGTCCGTCGCCGGGCAAGACATTGGCGGCCATGCCGTGCCGACCAGACGACTGACCGTGTCTGTGATGCCCCCCCCCCCCCCCCTGTGTGTGTGTGGCGCTCTATGTGGCGCTCTACGTGGCCTCCCCCGAACGTTCTTCGCCCCTCTCTCTGCCCGAGCGCCTCCCGCGTGGCATGCAGCTGCACCGTGAGCGGCCCGAGCGAGACCTGGTTGACGAAGCTCGTCTCGTCCTTGATGACCTGCGTCACCTGTGGCCGCAAGGCGTAGGGCTGGCCCAGGGGCTGGCCCCTCCCTCGCTCGGGGCAGGCAGGTGTGGCGTCCTCGCAGAGTTCATCACGACGACCGGCGAGTGCTACGCAGCCGCGAGCTCTCCAGCCGCGAGCTCTCTCAGCCTCTCTTGGCGCTGGTCCGGTGGCGCCCGAGGGGACGTGTCTCACACATGTCGTGGACGGGTGTCGTGGACAGCGCCCACGTGGCGAGCGCTGGTCCGGTGGCGCGCGACGACAACAAGGATGGCTCACGACTAACGACCCTCGCGCGGCGCCTGGCCGACGAAGGGCCCGATCTTGCCGTTGGAGCCGCCCTTGGCCGCCGAGTACAGCAGGTCGTAGGTGCCTGCCACGGACGCACGATTTTGGTGTGCCAAGTGTACCGTTTGGTGTGGATGCGACTGACGCGTCATGGCGGAGACGCACACGCCTGCCAGCGGGACGCGAGCCTGTGCCGGCACGGCCGACGCGCCCTCCAGCGCTGCGGCGGCATCCTCCACCGACTGCTGCGCCGCCTCCGGTGCCAGCACTCCAACAGGGCCGGCAGCGGTGCACGACTCGAGCAGCGGAGCTGCCGAGGCGCGGGCGGCTGGCGCGCGTGTGCTCCGTGCGAGGCACGCTGGGCTGGATGGCCGTCCGCTGTGAAGCAGGGCGGCCGAGAAGACGGCGAAGGAGAACAGCATCGCCGGAGCGTCGAAGCAAGATGAAAGAATTTTACAACAAAACTCCCTCGCACAACACTGGACTCCCTAGGGTGGGCGACGGCTAGCGCATCACACTCCTCTCCTTAAAATCCCTGTGTGGTGGCGGCGTGCCGTCCTCCCATCCCTCCCTTGGGTTGTCTGTTTTCTTTCTTTCTTTCTTTACACTGGGCACAGGACTGGGCACGGGACTGGCTCGCACTGGCACTAACACAGGTACACCACGGGAGCCGCCTAAGCGACTCCTGCGAGGGTGGCGAGGCACTTAGCTCCGTGCACCCGCCCACCCCCGCCACAGGCAAGCTCATTCACGACCTGCTCTGCGATGGCCGTGTGAAGAACGACTGAGATGCGCTGCTTCTGCAGCCCCAGCCAGCTCTTGGTGGTCCAAGTCACCTCATCGAGGTACTGGGCCCGCGTCAGCTTGTTCTGTAGCACGTCCGCCGCTCTCCGGAGGATCTCACGGACCCCCTTTCCGAACCCGCCGAACGATTCGAACAGCAGCAGCTGCACTTCGACGCCCTTGTCTTCCCTGGCGTAGCGATAGTCCCCGCCGTAGGACGGTATGCGGCGGTCGCCGCCCACCACCCTGCCCCCCCTGGTATGCCAGCGCCCAGTCCCTTGCCCTCTCTCGCCCTTGCTCTTCCTCTCCCCCTCCATGCCGCCCCCCCGGTACCCCTCCCCCTCCCCCCCCCCCTCCTCCTCTCCCCCCCCCTCTCCCTGCCCTCCACCTCCCTCTCCCTCCTCGCAGTAGGGCCCATGCCCCATGACCATGTTCCGGTAGAATGATTCAGTGTTGCCGAAAGCGACAAAAGCGCCCTTCCGACCGTGCTCCCCGCTGCTGCTGAGGGAACAGACGACCTTGACGTCTCCGCAATAGTGCGTGCCGTGCGAGCCAATGTTGTCCGCGTCCACGTCGGGTTGTTTGTTGTAACTCTGACCGAGGTGGGCTTTCGGCTCCATTCGCACAGCGGTGCCCCACGCGGCGCGTAGGGCGAGGATGAGGCGTCGAAGCGTGTACTTGTGTCTGGTGTTGTGGCCCTGCTGCGGTACGTTGACAGCAGCGTCGCCATACTCGTCGTGGGTCTTCCCATTCCGAGTCTTCTTGCCCGCCGCCGCGGCCTGGCAGGCCACGTCGAGGGGGAGACCCAGGCGGCGCTGCACCGAAAGACGCATCGCCCAAGTCTCCATTCGCATGTCATCCCGCATTGGGATGGCGTTGAGGAAGGCGCCGTTGCTCAGCTCACAAATCAGCACCCTATATAGTATGAAAATGAATCCCGCGCGTCTCGCGCCCCAACTGACAACTCATCGTTGTCCCTCGGACACCACTCGTCCAGCCGCGCTACCTTCGCCCACCTACCGCTCTCGCATGACATCTCGACAATCCTCATATCTCCAGGCCCAAGACTCCTAACCACTGCCCCTGCTCGCCCAGGACCACGAAGCGCCGCCCGCGTGCCCATTGACCCCCCAATCAACCCACTTGCTGTCCCTCAATCGCCACCCGCCAGATGTACTGCCCTCGCCCACCCAATACTCTCACCCTCCTGACCCGGACAGTCCAGGTACAGGAAAAGCGGGGAACGGGGCCCGATCCAAGGAGCACCCCGTCGGCCCGGGAGGGCTGTGAATTTCGGCGCGAGCGGAAGGCTGCCTGCAGACGCTCAGCTCCCGGCTGTGCTGCCGAATCCTCCCAGCTAATCCCCTGACCTGCCGCCTGAAACGGGACAACATTACACCACCTCACACCCACTGCTCCACCTCAGGGCTAAGCAGTGCGCAAGTCCACCCGAACTCTAGGCGAGGCATCGACCGCTCCTTTGGAATAGTGCCGTCAGTGGCTGCACTAGACGCCCATTAGATGGCGCGCGGCGCGGGCGGATGACTAGAGGGGAGATAATGCGGAGAGACCAGCTCGCAGGTAGATGTGCTCAGGCAAGGGCAAGGGATGAGGGGAATGTGTCAGTGTGAGGGGTGCACCAACCGCAGAGCATCATGTTTTGCCTTTGAAAACTGAACAGTTGTGTGTGTGTGTGTGTGTGTGTGTGTGGAGACGTTTACCTTACCTTACCTTACCTTAGTCCTTGGCTTCCTAACGGCTTAGAAAAAGGCAAAGGTCCTATCTATAGATACCCACGCCTCGCCCGCTCTCGCGCCCTCGGCGTCGGCCCTCGCGAGCCATCGTGGGTGTCTCCCCGCCTTTAAACATATAGCCCTTTAGTTCATTTTTTTCGGCACCACGTTCACAAAAGCAGGCATATGTCAAACGAGCACAAACACTCAGTCCACCTCCATCTCATCGGAGCGCGCCTCCCTCGTCTGAAACATGCCCGTGAGCGTCTGCTGCCGCAGCGCCGCGGAGGGGGCGGGGAGGGGCACTCGCCCAGCGGCGCCGCCCGGGGCTGCAGCTGCAAATGCGCTCTGCAGGCGGCCGCGGACAGGCGGCCGCGGCGGCGGCGGCGTCAGCGGCGGCGGCGGCTGCGTCAGCGGCGACAGCGGCGGTTGCGGAGGCGGCGTCGGCGTCTGCGTCGGCGCCGGCGGCATGTTGGCGAGCGGCGGCTTGGAGAGCGCTGCCTGCACTGCCTGGGTCGCCCTGCGCTTGCGCGCCTGGAAGCCGAGCCCGCCCGCAGCGGCGCCCGGAGATCCCGCGGTTTCGGGCTCCGCTCTCCGGTTGTACTGATCGGACGCAAGGGCGGGGCCGTCGCTGCGCAGCCGGAGCACGAGGTTGCCGTCGGCGTCAATCGAGACGTCGTGCCTCCGCTGCTTGACACCGCGCGAGACGCACCGCCCGCCCTCCTTCCCGCCCGTCAGCCCCCCCACCGCTTCGAGCGCCTCCCCCGTCTGCAGCGCCACTAGCCGACCGTGCGCCGGGCAAGGTAGCGCCCGCGCTTCTTCGATGTCCGCCACAGGGGCGCGCCCGCCGCGCCGCCGCCGCCGCCGCCACCGCGGCAGACGGGCGCACGCACCAGGTCGCCGCCGCCGAGGTGCGCGCCGTGGTGGAAGCAGTACGCGTCAATCGCGTGCAGCTCGCCGTCGGGCGAGCGGAGGACGGTGACGACGCGGTCGGACTTGCCACGCACGGACACGCGCTGGCCGGGCAGCAGGCTCTCCGCCCGAATACGCAGGGGGACCCACTGAGACATGTGCAAGCCGCCTTCGGTGCTCCCGGTGCGGCTACTCTCCCGCGAAAGTCTCCCGCGAAAATCGAAAAACGGTTTTTCACGTTGACGTTCTCTCGAGGTTCTCGAGGTGGATATCCTTTGGCCGCGTTGGGTAGCGAGGATTGGTGTAACCCGAGCCACGGAGGCGTGTTTTCTGGCGGCCGACCGTCAGTTCTGGCGGCCGACCGTCAGTGCACGGAGTTGCCACTTCTCCGACTGCCCCGGCTAGTTCCCGAGGTCGTCGGGTGTGACCCCTTCGTCCCCCGAGACCTAGCGCGGGTGGGTTGGAGGGGGCTCGCCCCGTTCCTCCCCATCGGGCCGCGTGAGCGGCCACGCCTCGCAGATTCGTTTTCGCGCCTGGGTCAGGCGCGCGGGGCATCCCCCGGGTCGCTCGACCAGCGATCCGAAGAGTGGCCGCTATGCGAGGGAAAGAGCGGGGCCCTCGACGCCTCAGTCCGGCCCTCCGAGGGGGGAAGGGAAGTGCGGGGTCCCCACGGGCGCCTCAGTTCGGCCCTCCCGAGGGGGGGAGGGGAGCAAGGGGGTGGGGGGATCAGGGTGGTGGGGAGGGGTCTCGGTTTCATGTGGCTATTACTTGCCTTTCGGGGAGGGGCCTCGGTTACGGCGAGCGCAGTGGCGCGCGCCCTACGTCTTCCCCTCCTCCCTCGAAACTGTCACTCCCCTTTCTCCCGGCCGGGGTGGGGCGCGCGCGGGGGCGGCGGGTGTGCGGCGGGTGTGAGGGATGTCTGTGAGCCCGAGAGCGATATGCCATGTCCGCCTTGCGTTGTTTCATAACATCGAAGGCTAAGCTCAATAAATAAATAGAGCAGTCATCTCCAGGGAGAGATGGGCGACGCACACGAACACAGAGGGACAGTGCGCACCCCGCCCCGCTCGCAGGGCGTTCTATCTGTTGCAAGAGAATTCCTTGCAGGTTTTCAGTACTTTTAGCTTACGAAAAGAGAAAGGGGGTTGTGTTCCCTAGGCCCCTAAGGGCCCTACGCGCGGCGTGAGAGCTCGGAAGCGATCTCTCAGTGTATGTAGCTCTTACGAACATACCCGTAGGTGAACTGCTGACAGGGTTCGCGATGAGGAGCGATCCGAACGTTTTTGCGACCAAGGTCTACTTTCTTCCTTTTGGCCCCCGGCCGCCCCCCCCCCCCCCCCGGTGCCGGCGAGGTTGCCGCCTTGTCCGTCTCACCCCCTCATCAATTCGGTGATGGCCACCTTTTTTCTCCCGCGCCGTGCTGCTGCTGCTCGAGCAGCCAAAAGGGAATCCGCGCGCACACGGAGCCTCACAGACCCCTGCCCCTGTTCCCACATTCCGCACCAGATGCGTCTCGCTTCTCCTCGAGAAGCGCGGCGGCACCGCACAAGCGCACGGCTCTCGGTCGGCTGTGACCGCTGTCAATGGCGATGGCATCCGCACGTGAGCACGAGTGAGCAGAGTGTGCACGTGGAAGCGAGACGGAAAGGGGAGAAGGAGAGAGTCGAGTTTGTCCACTGTTCATGCCGTGGGGAGCGGCGCAAGCAAACGTGCGAGTAATCGGATATATTTATGTCCGTCAACCCGTCTCGTCCTCGGTTTAAAACGGTAAGAGTTGACTCTTCGCGCAATGTGAAAACGGTACTCGCGCCTCGCGCATTCGGGCCGCGTCCACCTCTGCCGCCTCTCTCTACTAACTCTCCTCTCCGGAAAAACCTTAATGCCGCTCGTCGGTCGGCCCTTGAGAGTTACAGGTACGTCTTTGGCTTTCCGCGGAAGCCCGCCGCGACCTGCTGGTACGTGTACGAATCGGCCTCCTGCAGGGCGCAGGGTGCAGGGGCACACGGTGAGAGGGCGGGCTCGATGAACTCAAAGTTGACTCTTCTCATGGTGCGTCGTGTGTGCGCGAGCGGACGCCTCCTTGCTGCCAAGGCGAGCAAGACTGGCTGATAGCTCTGCAGTAAGGTGTGTGTGTGCATGCGGTCGATGCAGCGGCCGGCGTCGCCTGGTACTGGCGGTAGTCCACTGTCGCCTCCTCGCCCTTGCGCAGCCGCCGCGACGCGCGTATGCAGTTCTCCTGGTCGTCGTAGTAGCCTGCTCACAGGCATCTCTTCACAGCGACCGCTTCGCAGCGTGCCGGCCTCCTCCTCGAGGTAGTGGCAGTTCGGGGCGGCCGCGTGGTTCAGGAACGAGACGAGCGGCACGACCTCGAAGTCGCGAGGCACCTACACGCGCGTCTCGCCGGGCGTAAACAAGGAGGGCCGGAAGAGGTGCACGCCGTCGCAGTCCAACGCGGCACAGTGCACGTCCCGTCGCGATCGACTCCATCCCATAGCTCATGCACCGTGGCGCGCACCTGGCAGTACACAGGTGTGAGCAGGCTCCATCGGCTTCATCTCGTCCGTATCTCGGATGTATCTCGGCCATACCTCCGCAGGCAGCCACAGCAGCGAGGCGGTGCGGCGCTGCTCCGCGTACAGAGCCTCGCAACCGCAGATGCGGGCGCCTAAATAAAGCGCCGGCTGTGAGGAGCAGGCCTCCTGTTTTCGCAGCCGCGCATGCGGCACGTTTTGGCACGGAGCGAATCGCAATCAGGCCGACGCCGTGGGAGCCCTTGCCGGGCCGCACATAAACGTCTCTCAGGCCCTGTGGCTGCAGCAGCCGTCGTGCAGGCACGAGCGCCAGAAATGCGGCCGCCGTCATCAGCTGCACGAGCGCCGGGCCATCTGCCGCCGCCACGCCGTCGGCCACAACTGGCAGCTGCACTGCGCCGTCGATGAGATTCATCGCAGTGGCGGCGTGGCGGCACACTGCGCGAGGCTGGATCGCGGCGAAGGGCGAGAGCGAGGCGAACAGGAGAGAGCTGCCGGCGACAATCATGAGCTGACGGGATCCCACTCTGCGCCACCACCCCCTACATCCTAGCTCATAGCCCCTAGCTCATAGCCCCTACCAGCGCGGTAGGCTGCACCCTTGGCGGCTCCTGTGTTTTGGAAAGAGACTCTTCTTAGCGGCTCCTTGAAGGGGTGTGTGTACTGTGTTTTGGAAAGAGACTCTTCTTAGCGGCTCCTTGAAGGGGTGTGTGTTTTTGAACGATTCTCTCCTCAGCGGCTCCTTGAAGGGGTGTGTGTTTTCGAAAGAGAAAGGGGTGGGTGTAAACAATCAACCTTCCTTTAGTTAGCAAAACAAGGAGCCGAGCCCCAGTCGCCCTTTTTTGACCCGCTCTCCTTCATAATGACGAACATACACACACACCCCAACACACACACCCCTCAAAGGCTGGCCCTGAGGGCCAGCCCCCCTAAGGGGGGCTGCGGCCTCGATTCTGGCCTCCAAATCCGCGACGGAGGACCGAGCGGTGAGTTCCAGCATGCATGGAGGCCTCCGGATCACAGGCTGCCCGAGACACCGAGAGTGGTCGCGCGGCGCGCAAAGAGCTCGGGCGAGGATGCTGGGATGCGCCACGGAAACCCGCGCGAACGGGAAAAAGGAACGGCGGCGGCGTCTTTGCTCGGCGACGCCTGAGCTCCTTCCTGTCGGCGCGACGGCTGATGCAGGTACGTCGCGACCCTACTGTCTGTGGCTCGGCGATGCGGGCTCCACGGCCGTGCCGCGTCCGTCGGTGCCGCGTGCCCAATGAGGGACAGGCTGCCCTGCAGAGCTCACGAGCTCCTCACGCGGCGAGCCCAAGGCGAATTCGGCGCGACCTCATCACTCGAATGAACGTTTAATCGGGGCGCTAATAATATCGGGCGCACACTCCGAACAAGGTTCTTTTTCGAACCTTACTAAACAATGAACGCTACCCCAACCTGCTACTAAAAGACTCCCTCCCTCTGCGTGGTGGCGCTCAACCTTGTACGTACTTTTCTCTCTCTCCACCTTGTACTCTCTCTCCAGGTATAATGTAAGGGGTGGTGCGGCCGTGCCGGCCGCCCTCGCAAAGTCAAGAGTACAGAGACACACAGGGAGAGAGGATATCGCCCATGGCAAAAAATATCGCGCAAGCACATGGCAAAAAAAGAATTTCGGGTCATACTGGCCCATCCCTCCCATTGTCTGTTTTCTTTCTTTCTTTCTTGACGGGACTGGCGCGCGAAAAAAAATCTTAACATAACATCAAGGCGGTGGCGGCGTCGTGTGTGTGTGTGTGTGTGTGTGTGTGCGTGTGTGTGTGTGTGTGTGTGTGTGTGTGTGTGTGTGTGTGTGTGTGTGTGTGTGTGTGTGTGTGTGTGTGTGTGTGTGTGTGTGTGTGTGTGTGTGTGTGTGTGTGTGTGTCGTGTGAGTGAGTATTCTTGATACGAAACCACGACGACACACACCAGTCGACTCGCATCGGTTGCCTCCATTAACGGCGGAGCTATTCTCGCGTCCACACCACACCTGGCTCCAACGTGGACACGCCCATAGCTGGGGACACTACTAGGTCACGCATGGCATCAGAAGTTTTGTCTCTGGGCCCCGAAAGGCATCTCTAGCAGTGTCGTTACGCATGCCCCCTCCCATTCCTGGGCGCATGCGCCTCACGTCTCGCCAGAGCATAAGCCCTTGGCGTGTGGCGAGACGAGTTTTTCGCCATGCAGCGAGCAGCAAGCCGCCCGCCGCAAACAGCCGGAGGCATCGCCACGGCACTGGCTGCGCCGCGGTCCCGCACCCGTCGGCGAAGCTCCCCCCGCGGAAGACCGCGCGTAGCGACGCCTTGACGATCGAGATGAGCGCGCTCCAAGCTCGCCCACCTACTGCCCCTGAGAGTTGGTTATTGAGTGGGATCAGCTCCCCCCCTTGGGATCAAAGCTTCCACGACCTCGCACCCAACATCTCAGGCGGGATCAGAAGGGGACTCCACACCGGACACCGCCCGGGCACAGCCCCCCTACCCGTCGGATACACTCACACACACACACACACACGGGTGGCGGCGTCGATACCACGATAGAAAAGGGGCGCCGGAAGGTGAAGGTGAAGGTGCGGTGCCCCCGAGCTCATTTTAAATAGGAAGGTGAACAGCAGCCAGGCTCGGACTGGACACCACCGGCGGTATGGATGGACGCGGGACAGAAGACGACGACACGCGCGAGCGACACACAGACACACAAAAACTCACAAGACACTCGCGGTATGGGTGGACGCGAGACAGGCAGGAGATGACGGCACGTTCGTTGGCGCCACGCACAGACGCAGACAGACAGATTTCCAGAGCACTGCATGGGTGCGTTAACTATCTCACCGGCGCGCTCACGCTCTCCGACGCCGTTCTGTTGAGAAGAGAGTATTGGCGCACGGTACTGCCGTGCATGTGTTTGGTTCTCGTGCACGTATACGGTATTGTCGTGGAACCGAATAGCGAATTCGCTCGCTTGCGACCCAGATAAAGCGGGGTCCAGGAGCAGGACGAAGACGAGGCTATATAAGGCCGCTAGTGCCCGCACGGCAACGGGCAAGCATCGGACGGGACAGACGGGGTACCGTTATAGAGCCAAAAAAAGCGAGAGTCGTCAGCTCGCTTTTTACCCATCTCACAGTAGAGGTGTGTGAAGAAAATACCTTTTAAAGTCGTAATGTTTTTTATTTATTTATTTATTCTAGTCAATACACGGCTCACGGGTGCGGAAGACAGATTCGCGCCTTGTTGTCCTAGTGCCATTTCACTGTGGCACAGCTCGCGTTACAAAACCTTGATTTGACCATTTGCGCCATTTTGTCCCTCTCGGTGCCTTCCAGAGGCAGCTGCGACCCCGCCAAGTGGACGGGGGCACTCGGCAGGTGGCGCGGAGTGCCCCCGTCCACTCGGCGGGGTCGCAGCTGGCTCTGTGCGTCCTGGGGAGGGACAAAATTGTCGCCGCCAGAGACGACTCGACGCCGCTGAGATTGGAGATCAAGCTCTGACAGGTCGCACGTCGCTCCTTTGACGCCGACGTGGCTCACCCGTGCAGATCACATCAGGACACGGTCTCGACGCGCTCGGTACGACGCCTGCGACCCGTCTCGCGGGTCAGGTGGCACGACGCTCATCGCGCCTACCAGCGCGCTGCCGTGCAGGTTGCCACGACGAGGTCGAGCACGCTTCTATACGCTCGCCGAGCCTTCCTTTCCATCCCATTAGGCAGCCTGGGAACGGTGGCGGTCAGAGGCAAAGCCTACGAGGGGTGGTGGAACCACATGTCACGGCTACTGCCGGCTCGACCCCACGATAGCCTCCGAAGGCTGACTTTGCGGCACCATCATCGGACGATGTCGACGAGTTGGGTCGCTCTCGCGGTAGCCAGATGACCTCTCTTTCTAGGAGCATCGGCCATGGACGCAGGGAGCGCGGGGGAGGGCGCTGGAAGCTGAAATGGCACTAGCCAGGGCTTCGTGAAGGATGGATTGAAAAACATTCGTACAAAGAAGAGGCGACGGGAGGAACCGGCAGAGGATGCAGTGACGTGACACACACACACACACACACACACACACACACACACGCACACACACACACACACACACACACACACACACACACACACACACACACACACACATCGCCAAAAGCGGCGGGGGCACGCACGCGCAGCACACAGGAGTCAGGTGCGAAGGACTTGTTCCGCACACTCCACGCCGTGGGGCTAGCACGCAACAGACAACGGCGACTACATAAAGACGGCGAAAGCCTTCACCCGCGCCGTCCCCATCAGCGCCACGTCCTCCCACGCGTTCGTCGCGGGGTCGTACCGCTCCACCGAGCTGAGGGACTCGTCGTCGCCGCTGTAGCCTCCCACCGCGTACAGCTTGCCGTCCAGCACTGCCGCGGCGGAATTAACCCGCGCCGTCGCCATCGGCGCCACCGCCTCCCACGCATCCAACGCTGGGTCGTACCGCTCCACCGAGCTGAGGATGCCGCCGTCGTAGTTGCGGCCTCCCACAGCGTACAGCTTGCCGTCGAGCACAGCCGTGGCGGGAGAGTCCCGCGCTGTCGCCATCGGCGCCACCGCCTCCCACTCGTTCGTCACCGGGTCGTACCCCTCCACCAAGCTGAGGGGGAAGTAACCTTCGTTGCGACCGCCCACAGCGTACAGCCTGTCGTCGAGCACCGCCACGGCGGGAGCAAACCGCTCGACCGCCATCGGCGCCACCGCCTCCCACGCATTCGTCGCAGGGTCGTACCGCTCCACCGAGCTGAGGTAGGCATCGTCGTCGTTGTAGCCTCCCACAGCATAGACCGTGCCGTCGAGCACCGCCACGGCGTGAGCCTCGTGTGGTGTCACCATCGGAGCCACCGCCTCCCATGCTTTCGTCGCCAGGTCGTACCGCTCCACCATTAGTTGCGCCGTCAACCCCATTCTGGCCGCCCGCCGCGTAGAGCTTACCGTCGAGCATCGCCGTGCGGACATAGCTTCGTGCCGACGGCATCGGCGCCACAGCCTCCTCCTCCCACGCGTTTGTGGATGGGTCGTACCGCTCCAGCGAGTTGACAAACTCGTCGTTGCTGCCGTGGCCGCCGATCACAACGAGGCGCGCCCTCTCGCGCTTCTTCAGCGTCTCCTTCCAGCCGCGGCGCCACGCGCGGCACGTCCCCTTGGCGGCGTGCTCCGTGGTCGGCAGCTGGGCGAGGATGTGCGGGGCGAGGTCCGGCGAGAGGAGGACCTCGGAGAGCACCCACTCGGGCTGCTCCACGAGCCGTGCGGCGTGCTCCTCCGCCACGCGCAGCGCGGCGTCGCTCGCGCCCGCCTGCGCCTCGATGATGGCGCACAGCTGCGCTGGCGAGAGGCCCGCGACGCGCGCGCCGATGCGGTGGGAGGCCATTTGGTGCGGCCGGGAGAGCGGCGTCCATTTTTTTCTTTGGTCTGCGCGGCGACCTCTGAGCTCAAGCGGTCGAGCCTTCGAGCAGTGCGGTGGTCGCAGCGCACCGCGCACCGAGTTTGTACTCGAGAGGTCTTCACGGAAGTCCAACTTTGCCGCAAAGTTTTGCTGACATTATGCTCTACACGGTCACGCATGCGTGGGCCGCCGCGCAGTCGTCGGGGATCGACTATTCTGGCGCCGCCCCGGACTGGAACACCATCGCAGTTCAAGAGCGGATCCTGTGGCGGCGACGCGCCAATATCACCGCTGCTGAGCTCCCGCGCTTCACTCCTCGTGGGTTTCAGTCAATGCGGACGCCGCCGCATATCCACGCCAAGCTGCTGCAGCTGTACAATGAGAAGAAGCATTTTCGCGTGAGGGAGGTGCGCCGAGAGGTCGCCTCGCCTGGGGGAGAGAGTGCAAGAGCAAATCAGCGCAAGTATATGTGTCTCACTTGGTACCGGCACGTCGTAGGAGGCGCTGGGCTGCTGGAAATTTAACGCGACCCAGCGAGCTCGCCACCTCGCCATGCTGCGCCAGCTCTGGTTGCGGAGCAATACTAGCCACAGCCTCAGTGGGGTGGCACCGCCCCGACTGCGACCACCCGCGCTAGGTGGGCGTGGAACCCTCGCGGCTGGAACGTCACTTCGTGCACGACTCTCAACTTTTGGGAGGCCGACACTCACCTCGTTCGCGTCCCCAAGGCGCGCGCCGCCACTGCCAGCGATCAAAAGTCTCTTTCCGACCCTTGCCCCTCTCACACCGTTCCAGACGCTCAAGAACTGGGTGATGCGCGAGCTGAAGCCAGTGCTGGAGCGGTGGGCGAAAATTCCACTCGAGCCATCCGTCAGCTACGGCATCCGGATCTACGGACCCGGCGAGATGTAGACGAGACAGCCGGGTGGGAGCGTGCACCCTCTGCAAATCTAATCCACGCCCGTCGGGTGCGTGGCCATGAGCGCTGCTCGTAGCCACGAGCGCTGCTCGGCATGCACTTTGGCCGTCGAACATCTCTCGGCTGTCGCCTTGGACGTAGGTGCGCTGCTCAACACCCACGTCGATCGGCCCGCGACGCACATTGTGAGCGCAATCCTCAACATCGCCAAGCAGGCGCACTCGCCGTGGCCCATCGGTGACCGCTCGGGTGTCGCACGTTGCGCCACGTGGCGCTCGGGCTGTGACGCCTCTATTCCGTGGATAGGCATCCGCAGCCACGACCGCAAGCTATACCGCTACCCGCTCGAACCCGGCCGGATGGTGCTGTATGAGAGCGCGCGGTGCCTGCATGGCAAAGCCCACCGATTCAATGGCACCGAGTACGCAAACCTCTTTGTGCACTTCAAGCCCGCGAACCGCAGCCTCATACGCAGGAAGTACCCCTACACGCACTCGCAGGCGAAATAGCCCGCAGCCCGTGCCGCTGCAGGAATTGTAGGAGGGGGCGGAGCCATAATGACCGTTCCTCACTCTCTCTAGGCCCTGAAGTGGCACCGGCTCGTCGCTCACGACAAGGGGAACGCGAAAGGGCACGGAGGAAGCCAGTTGATGTCCAAGCTTCACCTGCTGACGCGCACAGCGAAGCGCGGCAACGGACCAGCGGAGGCGGCGGGGACATCACCAGCACGGGTGCGTCCACCGCCGGCGCCCGTTGCAGAACGTACCATTCCTGGCGTTGCCCACGGAGCACCGTCGGCGGGCGAGTGGGGTCGCTCGCTCCTGAAGCTGGGTTCCCTCTTCAAGCAGTGATGCGCTCCCGAAGGGAAGGGGGTCGAGGCTGCATGAGGATCTCCAGAGAGCGCGTTGAGCGAGAGTACTAGACCAGACGATCAGATGCCGGTTGCGTACGTCACTAACAGAGGCGAAAAGGGGATTGTGAGGAAACCCCACTCTGTTTCGTAGACTCCACTGCCGAGATGGGACGGGCGAGATGCGGTCTGCTCGAACGCCTGCGCGTTCTTCGCAGACGACGGCTAATGCACCAGGTCCGACACTGACGATTCTCCCGCTCGCGCCTTCCACACAAACCGACCGAGACGTGACACCACAGCCTACACTGCTACACACTCACTGTCCAATGACCGCCATGCACTCGGCAGCCAGCTGGTTGAGCGGCCGCCCCTTGGCGTCAATGCCGAGCTGCTCAGCGGCCTGCTGCACCACGGACGCGATGTTGCCCTCGAGGCCGAGCTGCCGCTTCAGGATGTCGATCTCAATAAGCGGTTGCCCCTCTCCACTCGAGCTCATCACAACCACCTGGCCGACGACGACAGGAGGGTCCGAGCTGGCGTCGGCGGCAGACCCACCGGCAGCGGCAGCCGCCCCGGCAGCCGTGGTTGCGTCGCCCTGTGCGCTCGTCGCGTTATCCTCCAGATGCCGCTGCCCTGCGCCTTCTCCTCAGCAGGGAAGGCTGCCTTGCACGGTGACGTTGCCGCCCCAGTGCACACCGCGGAGCCAACACCCTCTTGCGCCGTCGAGATATCTGGCGAAGCAGAGTCCGACATCCGGGGGCGGCTTGCTTCAACGGCGGGTAGCGGCTTTCACGGCCGCGACGTAGCCACGCCGCGGCGTGCGCCGTAAGTTGCTGCGGCCAGCATTGAACGCCAGCGAAGGACGCACGAGCCCGCCTGCCCCCTCCAGGTCGTCCAGCAACGCACAGACATATGCACACCGCGAGTGCTGACGGCACCGCGAGCGCTGACGGCAAGTCTTGGCGCCGCCGCGCCGCTACATTGGCTCTGAGCGCTGACGGCAAGTCTTGGCGCCGCCGCGCCGCTACATTGGCTCTGGCCCTCTCGCTACTTGTTTTCTGTGCTGCGGCGCGCTTGCCCTCCCACCGCGCCTCGTCGATGGCATGGTGGAAGGAGCCAAATACCGTCACTACGCTGCCGTCGGAGCTGCTGCACATGGGCTGGCTGGGTAGGCTCGCCTCGTACCTCGGCTCGTACGTCGACGTGCTCTCGGCCGAGTGCGGCGCCGAAACAGTCGTGCCCCTCATGCCAAAACAGTCGAAGGCGCCAGCCAAAAGGCCGCGCGCTCCGTTCGGGTTTGTGGTCAGCGGTGGCGGCTTTCGCACCATGACGGCGGGCATTGCGTATGCCCGCGCGCTCTCGATGGCCTTCGAGGCTGCCGGCGGCGCAGCCGGTTGGGACGACATTACGCACCTCGCAGGGAACTCTGGCGGACAGTGGTACACCACGCAGCTCGCTTTCTCGCACCACTTCTTCGTCCAGCTGACAGAGCGAGACGCGGACGGAAACTGGCGCGGCCTTGGCCACTTCTTTGAGCTCTGGGGCATGTCGTATGCGAAGGGCATGTTCACAGGCGGAATACCTCCATTCGACCTCCACAACCGGTGCGCGACCTCTTGGCTGTCGAGCCAGATCTTTGCGGCCATCCTCGGCGCCGTCGCCGCAACACTCGAGCTCGTGCATTTTCCGGCGTACAACTGGCGCAGCTACATCGACCACATGCTCCACTGCAGCATCCCCGGCTACGAGGAGCTCATTCCACACTGGGCGCGGTCGGGCGATCTGAGGCCCAACTAGGCGTATGCATTGCCCATCCAGGGCTATCACCTGGACCCATCAACAGGCGCCTGCGGCGCCGTGGTCACGAGGTGTTGTTCACACCTGGGCAAGCATTCATGCAGCACAGTAGGTAGGTAGGGCGTTTTGGCGCGACTAGGCAGACCCCCTATCTGGGTAGGAGCCGGAACCCAGGGCCACCGAGGCGTCGCTGGCTCCCCCAATTGTGCTCACCGCCTGCTTCACGCGAGCGGCAATGGCGAGCAGCAGCGGCAGCAGCAGCACCGCTACCACCACCTCTGACATTGAGCACCACACGATCCGCTTCTTCCAAGGCGCACGGCCTGACGCAGCCGCAAACTACGAGTTGCTCTCGCACCTTGGCCGCGGCGCCTGTGCGTGCCCGCACCGGCCCGCGCGCTAAGAGAGCTCTCGCGGGCGGGACGCCACGCATCGAGACGCCGCCGCTCCCCTCCCCACCCCGCAGACGGCGAGGTCTGGGCTGCGAAGGACCCCGACGACCACTCGGCCGCCGGCGGTGGCAAGGTGGCAATCAAGAAGATCAACAACGCGTTCTGCCAGGCGACGGAGGCGAAGCGGATCCTGCGCGGGCTGCGGCTCCTCCGTCTCCCGGACACGTCCAAAAAATGTCCCGGACATGTCCCACAGGCGAAGCGGATCCTGCGCGAGCTGCGGATCCTCCGCCACCTCGACCACCCCAACATCATCAAGATCCGCGAGGTGTCGCGGCCGCGCTCCTCCCCTGGCACGGCCTGTCCTCCTCCTCCTCCGCACCGCGCCCCCCTCGCTCTACCCTCCCCTCCTCCCGCGCTCCTCCCCGCTTGCCTCTTAGCATACTCACGGATGGTTCACCGCAGCCGAAACGCACAAGACGAAACGCACAACAAGGTGTCGCGACCGCTGTCCGAGTCCGCAGAGATGGGGAGAGACGGGGAGAGATGGGGAGGTACATCCGGAGCAGGTGCTGCGACCGCAGTCCGAGTCCGCCTTCTCCGACCTGTGGGTCGTCTTTGACTTCGTCGACCTCGACTTGCGCAAGCTGATCGCCTCCCCGCAGACAATCACAGTGAGACCTCGCCGAGACGTCGCCGAGATCTCGCCGAGAGTCCCCCGAGATGTAGTCGAGATCTCGCCGAGATCTCGCCGAGATCTCGCCGAGGGGTGGGAGGCCTCCCTCTTACGACACACACCCAAGCCACTCCGAGGCACACAGCGCAAGCCGCTCCGCCGCCGCGCTGCTGCTGTGTGCAGGTGCCGCACGTTCAGTGGATCTGCCACCAGATGCTGGTCGGGCTGCAGTACCTCCACTCTGCACATGTGTGTGCTGCGCCGCGACCTCACGCCGCCGCCCGAGTCTGAAGTCAAACCACTCACAGCTGTCAGCGAACAACCAGGCTGCTGCACCCGCGAGGAGCTGCAGCCGTCCGAGTCTTTGTTGTCGGTTGCATCAGTCGCTCCCTTGACTTGCAGGTGCTGCACCGAGACCTCAAGCCTGCAAACGTGCTCCTCTCCGAGCGGTGCGAGGTCAAGTTGTGTGACTTTGGGCTGGCGCGTGCTGTGCATGAGGGTCGGGCGACTGTGATCCATCCTGTCTTATTACTGAGTAATCATCAATTAGGCGCGGTGCTGTCGACGAGGGCGACTTTAATCAACCATTATTATTCATGATCAGTTATGAACTAGGCGCGTGTTGTCGACGAGAGTGACTGGGCTCTCAACGAGCAGCGCGAGAGGGCGGCGCCCGCGCTCGCTCGCCGGTGCTCGCTGTAGCGAGAGGCCCGATCTCGGTCAATCTCGGCGTGATCTCGGCGGATCTCGGTCAATCTCGGCGTGATCTCGGCGGATCTCGGTCAATCTCGGAGATTCCATCTCGGCGGATCTCGGCCAATCTCGGCGGATCTCGCTGCCAGGTGCTCCAGCGAGAACCCGCTCGAGCGCAAGCCGCCGCCGCAGATCTCGCGCCAGATGACGTCGCACGTGGTGACGCGCTGGTACCGCGCGCCCGACCTGTCTCCCCCGACTCTCCCCCCGCATCCCCCCGCATCTCCCCCGCATCTCCCCCGCATCTCCCCCGAATCTACCCGAACCTCGCCCCAATGTCCCCGAACCCGAACCTCGCCCCAATCTCCCCCCAATCTCTCCCCAATCTCCCCCCCCCAATCTCCCCCCGAGGTACCGCGCGCCCGAGCTGATTCTGCTGCAGCGGTACACGGCAGCGATCGACGTCTGGTCCTTCGCGTGCATCTTCGCGGAGCTGCTGACGATGCTGCCCGAGGCGAGATCTCCCCATATCTCCCCAGATCTCCCCAGATCTCCCCATCTCCCCGCCAGGCGAGGGTGGACCGCCGCGATCACATCTCTTCAGATCTCCCCAGATCTCCCCATCTCCCCGCCAGGCGAGGGTGGACCGCCGCGACCGGGGCGCCCTCTTCCCCGGCCGCTCCTGCTTGCCTCTCTCCCCCGTGGAGGACGACGCCAACCCCGAGCCGAACCTCGACCAGCTCAACGTCATCTTTTCGGTGCTCGGGACGCCGCAGGGCCCGCTCGGCTGGATCGAGCTGCCAGAGATGCGAGACTACCTGCACTCCCTCTCGCCGCTGCCGCCCACGCCTCTCGCGGAGCTCTACCCGGCCGCGCCCGCCGCCGCGCTCGAGCTGCTCGAGATCACCCGAGATGAGCCGAGATGGCCCGAGATTAGGCCGCGCCCGCCGCCGCGCTCGAGCTGCTCGAGGCGACGCTGCGACCCGAGAGCCTTTCCGTTGTTGAGTACTCGCTGTTGATCGTTGACGGCTGAGTAAGGCGATGCTGCGATTTGAGCCCTTCAAGCGGCTGACCGTCGAGCAGGCGAGAGGCAGCCGAGAGGCAGCCGAGAGACAGCCGAGGCACAGCCGAGAGGCAGCCGAGGCACAGCCGAGAGTGCAGCCGAGAGGCAGCCGACGTATAGCCGAGAGACAGCCGAGGTACAGCTCCGACGTACAGCCGAGAGGTTCGCTTGCACACGGTCGAGCAGGCGCTCGAGCACCGCTTCTTCGAGTCGATGACATACAGGATCGACACGGAGGTCGCCGTGCGGCCCTGCCGAGTGCCGAGGAGTGACGACTCTTTCATCGTCGGCAGGCTCGACACGAAGATCGCCGTGCGGCCAGTCGACGCGGCGACCATCGACTTCGAGCACGCCGAGGTCTCTAGAGAGCCGCCGACCCCGCAAGCTGCACCTCGGATGTACCTCGGATGTACCTCGGATGTACCTCGGCTGCACCTCGGACGCATCTCGGCTGCACCTCGGCTGCATTGCACTTCGGCTGCACTTCGGCTGCACTTCGGCTGCCCCTCGGCTGCACCTCGGCTGCACCTCGGCCGCACCTCGGCCGCACCTCGGCTGCACCTCGGCTGCCCCTCGGCTGCACCTCGGCTGCACCTCGGCTGCCCCTCGGCTGCCCCTCGGCTGCACCCCGGCTGCACCTCGGCTGCCCCTCGGCTGCACCTCGGCTATACCTCGGCTGCACCTCGGCTGCACCTCGGCTGCACCTCGGCTATACCTCGGCTGCACCTCGGCTGCCCCTCGGCTGCACCTCGGCTGCACCTCGGCTGCCCCTCGGCTGCCCCTCGGCTGCACCTCGGCTGCCCCTCGGCTGCCCCTCGGCTGCACCTCGGCTGCACCTCGGCTGCACCTCGGCTGCCCCTCGGCTGCACCTCGGCTGCACCTCGGCTGCACCTCGGCTGCCCCTCGGCTGCACCTCGGCTGCCCCTCGGCTGCCTCTCGGCTGCCCCTCGGCTGCCCCTCGGCTGCACCTCGGCTGCCCCTCGGCTGCACCTCGGCTGCCCCTCGGCTGCCCCTCGGCTGCACCTCGGCTGCCCCTCGGCTGCACCTCGGCTGCCCCTCGGCTGCACCTCGGCTGCCCCACCTCGCAGGTCCAGACCGCCGCCATCCGCAAGCTTGTCCTCGCCGAGATCGCGCACTACACGGCGGTCAACGCGGCGGCGCGCGGAGGGGCGGAGGCTGCGCGCGCGGAGCCGCGGTGGGCAGGCAACGATCTGGAGGGCGGCGACGCGGGCGGAAGCGAGGCTGCGGCCGAGGAGGAGGCGGTGGGCTCCGGCAGCGGCGGAGGAGGCGGCGGTGCTGGCAGCGGTGGCGGCGCCAACGGTGGTGACAGCGGCGGTAGCGATGCCGGCGACAGCGGCGGAGTGAACGGCGGCGTTAACGGTGGAGGCGATGGCAGCGCCCCCTCGAAGTGTGGCGAGGCAGAGGCGGAGGCGGAGGCGGAGGCGATGCTTCCTGCGCCCAAGCGGCGGCGGTTGGCGCGGGGGGAGGCGGCGGCGGACGGCGGCGGCGGCACGGACTAGCAACCGGCCACCGTTGACGGACCCCGCCTAGAGCGCTGTACTCTCCCTGTGGGCGGCGCGATTCGCCGTGCGAGCAATATGGTACGAGTTGATCGGTCCGCCATGAACGGCGCATGCGTCTGACTCGGGCACGAGGGGCCGGGGGCCTCTGCTTTTGATGGAAAGCTGTGTACTGTGACAAGGCTCAAGATACGGCTTAGGGGGGGGCCTCCACAAACTCACGACTCACACGCTTTATTTGGATCGTTCTGTACTATAGCTGCGCTTAGCAGCTGCTGGCTTCAAGAGTAAAGTGCGCGGGCGTGGTGGCCCTGCAATACTGCTCCTCTCTTGCTGCGCATACAGTAATAGGCGTGACGTCTGATAGACCTTGACCGTCTAACCCTATACGCACTGTGTCCACACTGCGCACTCGCTGCGGCCCCGCGAGGCGCTAGTTGTGTGTGTTGCTGTGCCGACTCGGAGCACAGCTAACAGCTATCCCAGCTTGCAGCTACCTACGCGCCTCCCTCGCATGCACCCTCCCACCCTTCGAGTCACTCGACATGCGTCTGGACCTGCTGCTCGTACAGCAGCGAAATGTCGCCCACGATTGCGTCCATCTCGCGGCGGAACGTGCGCAACAGATCGTCCTTCTCCGCGAGCGCCTGCGCATACGGGTCGACCCAAGGCGAGTCAGCTCACTGGCCCCGCGCCCCGTGCCTACGCGACGTCCCTCTCGAGCGAACGCCTGGCCGAGCTCACGCCGCACGCGCGCAGTCTCCGCCTGCGAGACGCGCCTGTTCACAGCCGCGGGTGTGAAGAGGCGCTGTTCACAGCACGGCCGCCCCGCCTCACCGATCGGCACGCACCTCGTGTCCTCGAGCAGCAGCGCCGCTTCCGCCGCCCGCTGCTGCTGCCTCAGCTCGAGCGACTGCATCTGGCCTCGCAGCAGCTGCAGCTGCGCCGGGCCCTCTTCCAGCGCCGCGCGGCCGAGCGTGCCACGGGCGGGCAATCTCGGCTCATCTCGGCTCATCTCGCTGCCGAGCGTGCCGCAGGCGGAGGGCGGCGAGGAGCCGGCCGGGTCGACCGCCGGGCGAGACGCCTGTTCACAGCCGCGGGTGTGAAGAGGCGCTGTTCACAGCACGGCCGAGCCGACGGCCGGGCTAGTCGTCGCGTCGGTCGGGGAAGGCGCCGCGTCCTGCCCGGTGCGGCCCACCTCCTCGCCCTCGCCCTCGCCCTCGCCCTCGCCCTCGCCCTCGCCCTCGCCGTCCTCGCGCTGCTCCGGGCGCTGCTCCTGCGGCCGTGCGGCCCGTCGAGCAGAGGGCGCCTATTCACACCTGCCTATTCACACCTGCCTATTCACAGTGCGGCACGTCGAGCAGAGGGCGGCGCCGGCGCAGGTCGACCCTCGTCTACGCTCGGCGCAGCCTCGGCGGCGGCGGCGGCGGCGGCGGCGGCGGCGGCGGCGGCGGCGGCGGCGGCGGTGGCGGTGGCGGTGGCGGTGGAGGCGGTGGAGGCGGTGGCGACAGGTGGTGGCGATGCATGGGCATCGGTTTGGAAGGGAGGCGGCGGCGGAGGGGGCGCGGCGGCGGCGGGCGGCGGGCGGCTGCCGTGCCCTCCCTTGCGGTGCAGCCGCGCCTCCGCCTCCTTGGCTCGCTCCTCCATCTCCCTCACCCGCCGGCCGTACACTGAGCGCACCTGGCGGGACGTGTCGTGGACATGTCGTGGACGTGTCGCGGACGTGTCGTGGACATGTCGTGGTGTCGCGGACGTGTCGTGGACATGGTGTCGTGCACGTGTCACGGACGTGTCGTGCACGTGTCGTGGACGTGTCCCTCGCCCGCTGTGCACCTCCTCGAGCTGCCGCTCCAACTCCTTGACCCGCCCGGCGCCCGCGCGTGCAGCCCCGGGCGGCCGCGCGTCCGCCTTTGAAGTCATGAGTTAACCAATCAGTGGGCGAATTCATGATGTGCGGAGCGCGGCCGCGCGGCCGCCTTTGCCGCCTCGGCGTCGCGCAGCTGCTTGGCCAGCGCCTCGACGCGCCGCTCCAGACTCGCCGTCACCTTGTAGGGTAAGGTGAGGTGAGGGAGGCGTCTCCACACACGCACGAGGTGGTGGGGCAAGGGCCCGGCTATCCCTCGCGTCTCCACGTCCAGACGACAGGAGCCCCGCGGCATTAACAGTGCACGGTCCAGTGCGGGTGGGCGAGCGGTGTGTGTGTGTGTGTGTGTGTGTGTGTGTGTGTGTGTGTGTGTGTGTGTGTGTGTGTGTGTGTGTGTGTGTGTGTGTGTGTGTGTGTGTGTGTGTGTGTGTGTGTGTGTGTGTGTGTGTGTGTGTGTGTGTGTGTGCGTGCGTGCGTGTGTGTGTGGTGCTGTGTTACTTTGTCGTGCTGCTGCCGCAACGTGCGCAAACGGCGCTCCGCCGCCGCGGCGGCCTCGCCCCGCTCCGCCTCGAGCGCCTCGACTCGCGCCTGCGGAAGCAAGCTCGCGCAATCTCCCCGCGACCTCGCGCGACCTCGCACGATCTCGCGCGATCTCGGGCCGCCCGGCGCCTGCAGCCTCGCCCTCTCCTCCACCTCTTCGGGCGGCGGCCCCACCGCAGCCAGCAGCTCGCCCAGCCCCTGAAGCGGCTCCTTGCCTGCCTGGCCGGGGAACCGACCGGCGCCCGCCTATAGCTGACACTCACCGGTGAGATAGCCCATTCCCGGCCTGGCCATGCGGAGAGACCTGGCGGCCGGTCCTTGAGCTTCGGCAAGGCCGCCTTTGGCTTGGGAGCCTCGGTCTGCGTCGCTGCCGCCTGCACCTCGGCCTAGGAAGTGTCTCGGAAGTGTCTCGGAAGTGTCTCGGAAGCGTCTCGGAAGCGTCTCGGAAGCGTCTCGGAAGTGTCTAAGGGGAGGGGTGGAGGTGTGCTGGAAGGGAGGAGCTGGGCGGCTGCATATCTCGCCTGCATCTCGCACCTCGGCTGCATCTCGCCTGCACCTCGGCTGCATCTCGCCTGCACCTCGGCTGCATCTCGCCTGCACCTCGGCTGCATCTCGCCTGCACCTCGGCTGCATCTCGCCTGCATCTCGGCTGCATCTCGCCTGTATCTCGGCTGCATCTCGCCTGCACCTCGGCTGCATCTCGCCTGTATCTCGGCTGCATCTCGCCTGCATCTCGGCTGCATCTCGCCTGCACCTCGGCTGCATCTCGCCTGTATCTCGGCTGCATCTCGCCTGCATCTCGGCTGCATCTCGCCTGCATCTCGCCTGCATCTCGCCTGTATCTCGGCTGCATCTCGCCTGCACCTCGGCTGCATCTCGCCTGTATCTCGGCTGCATCTCGCCTGCACCTCGGCTGCATCTCGCCTGCATCTCGGCTGCATCTCGGCTGCACCTCGCCTGCCCCCGCGCCTCGAGCTCCGCCACGCGCGCGCGCAGCCCCTCCGCCTCCGCCTCCGCCTCGCTGAGAAGCCTCTGCGTGTCGATGTACCAGTCCAGCCGCCTAGAGCGCGACTTTGGCCCAATGACCCTCCCCCTCCTTGTCAGACGTCGTGTCGATGTACCAGTCAGCCGCCGACGCACGGCACACAGCTCCTCCGCCTGCGCCGCCGCCGCCGCCTCGGCCGCACGCCGCCGCTCCTTCTCCACCTCGAGCTGCCTCGGGTCGAGCTCCGCGAGCCTTCAAGGAGAGTGCTTAGCTTGATTGGTGCTAGTGCCAACCGCTTGATGCGCCGCTTCGGGTCGGGCTCCGCAGTGCCTCTGCTCGAGCTCGGGCAATCTCGGGCAATCTCGGGCAATCTCGGGTCATCTCCGCATTGCCTCTGCTCGAGCTCGGGCAATCTCGGGCAATCTCGGGTCATCTCCGCATTGCCTCTGCTCGAGCTCGGGCAATCTCGGGCAATCTCGGGTCATCTCCGCATTGCCTCTGCTCGAGCTCGGGCAATCTCGGGCAATCTCGGGTCATCTCCGCATTGCCTCTGCTCGAGCTCGGGCAATCTCGGGCAATCTCGGGCAATCTCGGGTCATCTCCGCATTGCCTCTGCTCGAGCTCGGGCAATCTCGGGCAATCTCGGGCAATCTCGGGTAATCTCCGCATGCCTCTGCTCGAGCTCGGGCAATCTCGGGCAATCTCGGGCAATCTCGGGCAATCTCGGGTCATCTCCGCATGCCTCTGCTCGAGCTCGGGCAATCTCGGGCAATCTCGGGCAATCTCGGGTCATCTCCGCATGCCTCTGCTCGAGCTCGGGCAATCTCGGGCAATCTCGGGCAATCTCGGGTAATCTCCGCATGCCTCTGCTCGAGCTCGGGCAATCTCGGGCAATCTCGGGCAATCTCGGGTCATCTCCGCATGCCTCTGCTCGAGCTCGCGCCGCTCCGACGCCTCCCGCCTCGCCGCCGCCTACGCCGGGGGAAGGTTCCGAGAAGGTTCGGGGAAGGGTCCGCGGGAGGAAGGGCGCCGCACACCTCTGCCGCCGCCTGTCAACACGGACGCATGAACAAGAGGCCGTGGGGTGGCGTGGCAAGCCTTTGCCTGCCGCCTCCGCTGCGTCGCGCCGCTCGTCCGCCTACGGCCACTCAACTAACCAATCAAGCAGTTGAGGAGTTAAAAAAATAGTGCCGCGCCGCCCGCCCGCCTCGTCTGCGCGCGAGTGGGCCGCGAGCAGCGCCGACCGGTGCCCTACCCTCGCGTCATCTCGGGTCATCTCGGCCAATCTCGTCCAATCTCGCAGCGAGCGGCGGCGCGCGGCGTCCTTCGCTCGCTCGCTCCGCCCGCAGCACCGAATCCGCCTAGGAAGTGTCGCGGAAGTGTCTCGGAAGTGCCTGCGAAGTGTCTCGGAAGTGTCTCCGCTCGCAGCGCGCAGTCCGCCTCGGTGAGCCGCTCTGCGTTCAGCCGCGTCATCTCCGCGGCGTGCCTCGCCTGGACGAACGGATGCATGGCGTGCTGATTGCTTAAGCGCATCAGCTTCAGCCGCATCCGCGCTGCAGCGTCCCAGAAGGAGGGAGAGAGGGAGAGGGAGAGAGAGAGAGAGAGAGAGAGAGAGAGAGAGAGAGAGAGAGAGAGAGGGAGGGAGAGAGAGAGAGAGGAGGAGGAGGGAGAGGGAGGAGGGAGCCCCCCGATCCATCTCGGGCACATCTCGCCTCCACCACACGCGCAGCCTCCCTTGCCGCGCGGAGCTCGACAGTGAGCCTGCGGCGGGGAGATCGCCGGGAGATCGCCGGGAGATCGCCGGGAGATCGCCGGGAGATCGCCGGGAGATCGCCGGGAGATCGCCGAGATACGCTCGAGCTATGTCTCTAGAGCTCGGCGAGATCTCGGCGAGATCTCGGCAGCGAGCCTCTCGTTCTCGCGCTGGAAGCCGTGCAGCAGCGCCTCCTGCTGCGCCACCTCCTTCTCGAGCTCCTGTTAATTAAGCATTAAGTTAACACCTAATTAAGCCTCCTGCTGCGCCACCTCCTTCTCGAGCTCCTGTTCATTAAGCATTAAGTTAACACCTAATTAAGCCTCCTGCTGCGCCACCTCCTTCTCGAGCTCCTGTTAATTAAGCATTAAGTTAACACCTAATTAAGCCTCCTGCTGCACCATCTCCCTCTCGAGCTCCTGTTAATTAAGCATTAAGAACTGAGGAAGGAGCGCACTCACTGAGAAGCCGGCGCCGTCTCCCTCTCGCGCTCCTCCCTCCCTAGAACAGCGACCGGCCCAACAACCGCCGCCGCCACCGCCGCCACCGCCGCCTCCTCCACCTCCGCCGGCCCCTGCTCCGCCGACGCCTCCGCCGCCACCGCCGCCACCGCCGCCTCTTCCTCCTCCTCCTTCCCCTCCTCCTCCTCCTCCTCCTCCGCCTCCGCCTCCGCCCCTGCCACCACCGCCGCCGCCGCCTCCTCCTCCGTCGCCTCCTCCTCCGCCGACCCGCTCGGCGCAGCGCCGCTTCGGTGCCCAAGAAAGGGCGGCGCACCCGCGTCTGCCGGCGGGGTCTTGCACAGTGCAGCGCTGCTGCCGCCCGGTGTGGCATCGAGTCGAAGGGCCACCTGTGATGCAAGGGGCTGTGAGTGAGCGCACCCCCTTCACCCCTGAGCTCGGTGTGCGGCGTCGAAGCGGGAGGGCCCACTGTTTAAAGAACTCGCCTCAAACTCATTCACTCGTGTGGCGCGGCTTGTTGTGCGTGGGGAGGCGCAGGCCCACCGGCGACGGAAGCAGAGACACGGAGCGAGGCCCCGCCGGCACGGTGCACTCGCCTAATCAATAATTAATTAATTGATTAATTAATTAACTTTGACACGGAGCGAGGCCCCGCCGGCACGGTGCACTCGCCTAATGAATCAATCGAGTGAGGAACTTACCGATGACTGACTCATTGTGTGAGATCGGCCTGGCTGGCCCGGAGCACTCGCCTTGCGGCAGCTGTGGCGGCGGCAGCTGCTGCTGCTGCTGCGACCTTCGCTTGTGCTGAGGCCACTGTCGGTCCTGCCACAACTGCAGCCATTGCTGCTGCTGCTGCTGCTGCTGCTGCTGCTGCTGCTGCTGCTGCTGCTGCCATTGCTGCTGCTGCTGCTGCTGCTGCTGCTGCTGCTGCTGCTGCTGCTGCTGCTGCTGCTGCTGCTGCTGCCATTGCTGCTGCTGCTGCTGCCATTGCTGCTGCTGCTGCTGCTGCTGCTGCTGCTGCTGCTGCTGCTGCTGCCGGTGCTGCAGCCCCAACGCAGCGGGTGCGCTGTGGTGCTGTGCGCTCGACGGCCCGAAGCCGGCGGGAGATGCGGGAGATGCAGCGGGAGATGTGGCGGAGATACAGCCCGGAGGAGGGTCGTAGGTGGTGGCGCCCGTCTCTGCGTGCCAGTAGTACGTCTCCCCCGCGCCTATTCTCTAGCACTTGACACGTACTGCTGCGATGCTGAGGTGCCGGCGAGATGCGGTCGTCCGTCGCGCCATCCACCG